TAATTTTCATTCGCTTTTATCAGGGACTAGCGGGAAGTACCCGGCGTTGCTCGGGCGAAAGACACACACACACACACATCGACTTACACAGACATTGACCCACACATAGCAACACATCGACTTACACAGACATTGACCCACACATAGAAACACATCGACTTACACAGACATTGACCCACACATAGAAACACATCGATTTACACAGACATTGACCCACACATAGAAACACATCGACTTACACAGACATTGACCCACACATAGCAACACATCGACTTACACACACACACACATGGACTCACACACACAGACATCGACTTACACAGACATTGACCCACACATAGAAACACATCGACTTACACAGACATTGACCCACACATAGAAACACATCGACTTACACACACACACATGGACTCACACACACAGACATCGACTTTAGACACACACATGGAGTTACACACACACATCGACTGACACACACATATGGACCTACACACACACAAATCGACTTGCATGCACACATTGACTTCGACACACATTATTATTTAAAAATTTACTAACTTAATTTTTAAATATTAGTTGTCTACACACACACCACGCACACACATTGACTAACATGCACACATCGACTGACACACACGCCGATTCACGCACACACACATCGACTCACGCACACACATCGACCTGCACAAACACATATCGACTTATACACACGTACATGGACGTACACAAACATAAATTGACCTACACACACACATCGACTCACACAAACATATAGACTTACACACACACAGCGACTTACACACACACACACACACATGGAGTTGCACACAAAGACAAAGACCCCCCATATAGCCTTAACAGACTGTAGGGGCAAGTGCTGTTGGCGAGCACCTATAAAGGCCGGAACTGTACACGGGGGATGGGGTGGGTGGCCAGCACCACGCCCGACCGCCTTTGTTTTTCCAATGGCAATGTTTACACACTGCACCAGGTACTCATTTGAGGCTGAGTCGCCTTAGGGGAGGCTCAGGACCGGTTCAGATAATCGTCACTGGGTGTTGGCCGTGAGCGGGAATCGAACCCGGGTTACCGGGTTCATAGCGCAGCGCGCTAACTGCTACACTACCGCTCCCCGACTAAGACACACACATATGGACCCACGCACACACAAATGGACTTACACACACATGATCTAACACACATACACACGATCTAACACACATACACACATCGATGTACACACGCACACACATCGACTCGCACACACATCGACTCACACGCACATAGAGCCACACACACACATCGACTTACACGCAGATATATCGACTCATGCACACCCACATGGACTTACACACACACCAACTTATTCACACACATCGACTTGCACACGTACATCGACTTACACACACACGTACATCGACTTACACACACACGTACATCGACTAACACACACACACATCAACATAGACATGCACATCGACTCACACGCACACATGGACTTAGACACACACGTTATTATTTGAAAATTTACTAACTTAATTTTTTAATATTAGTTGTCTACTACACACACACATTGACTCACACACACACATTGACTCACACACACATCGACTCACACACACATGGACTTACACACACACACAAATAAATGGACTTACACTCACATGGAGCCACCCACACACATCGACTAACACACACACACATCGACACACACAGACTCTCACATACACATCGACTCGCACACACAGACACATCGACTTACACATCGACGCAGACACGCGCATTTACTCACACGCACATATGTACTTAGACACTCACAATATTATTTAAAAATTTACCAACTTAATTTTTAAATATTAGTTGTCTACACACAAATATTACTATTTTAATATTTCCAAACGTATTTTTAAAATATAAGTTATCTATCTACGTGAGTTTAGCGAAAGAATCAAGAAAATAGTATTTGCTTAACATTGCCGTGGTGAGGCCGAGTCCTGCGCAGAGCCCCCGGCCTCGCCTAGATTGCCCAGGCGGCCGAGGTGGCACTTTGGCAGGCTGGGGCTGGGCTGCTACCTCCCTCCACCCACGATCTCCCCGCCCGCTCTGCAGTAATATGTACCGCTATAGTAGTAGCATCTACCGACTCTATAGTAGTAACTGCACGCATTGGGGTGGGGGGGGGGAGAAGAGGACATAACACTGTGAAGAATTGACCTCAGTGTTTTGTGTATTTTAAATGCATTTTTAACGCGAATGAGAATCCCCCTCCACCGATGGCGTGTGTGCGTTGCTAGGGGCAAACCCCGGTCAGCGTTTCGCACAAGTAAATACTTAAATAATAAATAGCACTTTTTTAAATTTAATTATTTTAAAGTTCACGGATGGGAAAACGGAATAGCGCTGGCTCACCACGGGGCTTGCGGCGTGGTACCTGGCTACTTTTTCTAAACGTCATCCCCACGGTTTGTGAGCCAGATCCTTTCTAGATTTGTGTGCGTCCACAGACAGACGGACAAAAAATTACGTTTTTCTGTAAGATAGCCGCTGAATGTTTATTAAAGAAGTTGCGCTTGCACTTGTACAGATTGCAACTCAACTGCGTTTAAGCAAAAACATCTAAATTTATAAATATGAACACCGACAATTTATGGCTGGCGATTTTGTGGATGCGCAAATGCTCAAAGGTTACCCGATGCACAGACATGTGGCAGAAATCGATATTCGCTTGCTTTGCATTGTTGTGCTCGCAGCACAGAATAGTTGTTCAGGTCATAGGGAGGGCAGGCGAAGTACAGCCTCCCATCGCTGTCTCAGCCGCTGCTCACAATCCCCCCCAGCCTCCAGATTTACCAGAAGAATGTCTAGCTCATTGCTGTTAACCTGAGATGGGTTAGGCTGCACTACCTGTGTACACAAACACGTTAAGTATTTAATGTGCTAAGGTGTTAATTGTATTAAGGTTTTGGCCTACGTTCATGTCAGGTTAATGTATTATGCACGTAATGTTAATGCCATGGTATCACGTGTGTATACTGGATGCTAATCAAATAACCAGTTCACATCAATGAAATGCACACTGGAAGTGCTCCAGTTGCTTGATAAGTTCTGATGAGAATGCATAAATCATCCTGCTTTTGTAAAGTGGGGAGTAAATACTCTGATTAAAATCGTGTGGTGTTTGCTATGGAGAGAAAATGTTAAAGTACACAAAGTGTGCTCTGCTGCAATGTGGAAAGCAAATACTGGGCATGTAGAAGTGCTTCAAATCTTCAACTAAAATAAATATTAACATTTTGACTTAACCTTTGTGACTGCAGGAATTCATATTCTATGGTTCTTTCGGTAAAGTCACGTAGATAGAAAAAATAATAAAAATGAAAATAAAGTTAATAAAAATAATAAAATATGACAACGTTTCGAATCGCAACACAAGCGGTCGTCATCAGGAACAGGGAGGTTAGCCTCTTGAGGGGACGCTGTTTATAAAGGTTTAGAGATGGGCGGGGCAGCTAATGTTAATATAGGAGAGGGCCCGGCAGTAGGTCTACACCAATCAAAGAGCTGTTTATAAAGGTTTAGAGATGGGCGGGGCAGCTAATGTTAATATAGGAGAGGGCCCCGATACCGGCAGTAAGTCTACACCAATCAAAGCATTGCACCTCGCTCCACACACCCACACTGCTGACGGTAGAGGTGGACAGAAAAACACAAATCAAGTCATGACCCAAAGTGGTTGATGACATCTTTCCAATGATTGCTGAGTTTTAAACCGTCGTCTCGGTTGAAATTGTGTCTGTATATTTGGATGGCTTCGTGAACGAATCTTTGTTGATAGCCAGTTGGCTTGCAAAGTACCATCGTCTTAGAGAAATCAATTTCATGTGAGCCAGCCGCATTAAAGTAATGATCAGCCACGACAGAAGTATTGGTCCTGCCGTGTTTCAGATCTGCCTTATGTTCACGAACACGGTCTGAGACATGCCGTTTGGTTTCCCCAATATAACTGCTGCCGCAAATACAGCTTTGTTTGTAGACGCCGGCATATTACCATATTGCCGGCATCTACAGCCGGGATCAGGTCACGAATTTTACGCACTGTGTTAAATCGAACCTGGATCTTGTGTTTGGTCAAGATTTTGGAAATATTTTTGGTTTCCCTGCTATGTAGGGTAATTTTATGGTTTTGATTGGATCATCAGATGGCTCCTTCCTCACAGTTGGGGTGATGGCTTTGCGGATTGTGTAGTCAGAATATCAATTCGCCTTGAGAGCCTGGTGTATGTATTTCAGTTCACTGGTCAGGTGTACATGGTCAGAGATACATTGAGCTCTATGGTGTAGCGTTTTGATGAGGGAATTTTGGGATGGATGGTGGTGGGAATCAGGTTTTAGGTAGGCGTCTGTATGTGCTACTTTCCTATATTCCTAAATATTCACGTGTCAGATCGTATGTGTGAATATCAACAATTTAAAATGTGTGAAAATTTAATGCACATGGAGTGAACACGGCTGTAGGAATCACATTGAACTTGGATCGCCATGTGCATAGCAAAGTGTGCTAATCACTGTACCATCACTCAACCAGCTATAAACCCAGAAGTATATGTACGTATTATATTGGACTTATTTCGCACCGTATGAAGCCAAGCGCGCGAATCGGATATGTACATTTGTATGCACACAGTATGTTGATTGTGTTTTTGTGTGTGTATATTGCATTGTGGATACAGTGTATTTGTGATTTTAGGTGCGTTAATGCGCCCTAGTTCAACTCGGCCTAAAATATGTGCCTGCTTCATTGTTGCCCTACCTTGTCAGTACCTGAGAGGGCTGCTTCGTGTGTAAGATTGACCCTATCGACCCATCGTGTACCCTATGCTGGCCTTAATACCATCCCCCGTACAGCGCTTTCCCAAAAGAGTATAAGTTTGAGCAAGGGATCTTTATCCCCGCTTGTTTTATTGCACTGATGTGTGTAATGTTGCACATGTGTTCCCCAGGCCAGGTCATGGCTGCCTCCTCCAAGGTTGTGTTTCGCCAGAAATCCAGGTTTCTGCTGTCCCGAGTGGAGGGCCAGAAGGAGACAGCTGAGACTCCGGCCAACAATGATGACACGTACATGGGTACGTGTGTGTGTGTGTGTGCTTGGGTGTATGTAGTGCACCTTGCCTGCCTGGGACAAGCACCGTGGTGACGTTACCGTCTCTTAGTGGCGATTAGCAGGTATTGGTAGTGTAGCTGTTGGCACGATACGCTGCCAAACCAGCTAACAGAGTTCGATTCCCACTCACGGCCTACACGTGAAAATTATCTGAATCAGTCCTGGGCCTCCCCTAGGTCGACTTGGCCTCAAATGAGTACATGGTGCGGTGTGTAAACTTTGCCACTAGGGAGACAAAGGCGGCCCAACGTGGTTGCTGGCCATCAATCCCCTCGTGCCATGCCGGTCTTCATACTTGCTCGCTAACAGCACTTTCCTCAACAGTCTGTTCAGGCTATCGGGGTGGGTCTGGGAATTTTCGTCTTTTTCTTTGCACTAAAGCTGCCTTCACTGTCTTGGTGACTCTTGAGTGATGGGATGGCAGGCTGCTCGTGTGTGTGATCTATGGGCCTGCCAAGCCTAGGACGTGTGGCTGCAGCTTTACACTTGGTCATGAAAGTTTTGCTTGAGCATTTATTTTATGTCCACATAAACTGCGAGATATTTAAATCTATATTTACGCGATTTAACCCAAAAACCTCTATTATATACAACATGTTGTTAAGTCCCTTCTCATGAACCTGGTTGGAAAAGAATGTGGTTCACAAAATCGTAATTTTCACTGAATGGGAAAGCGTTTAATATTTGGCTATCAAGTCCTTACGAGAAACACAAATCGACTGAAATGTTGACTAAGCTTTCTTTGCTTTTAAAATTATTCCTTTTGCTAGGTAGGTGTTTTATTAATGTGCAGTGCGTGTGGACTACATATGTGATATTTGCTGCGCTTGCAGGTTATTCTGTGGCTGTTGGAGAATTCACGGGAGACTCTGTGCAAGGCAAGTTGTGTTATTTAATTTTAACAATGCAGATGTTTTTGGTGGGTAACATTACACAAGTCCTGTCGATGCACATACCTTATTTCTGACTCGAACTCTTGAATGAAAAAAAATGCACCTAGTTTCGATTTGGCAAAAAAAACTGAATTTTAAGATTTGTATATATTTTTGTATTATTATAATTGGGAAACTTACTTTTTTTCAACTCTTAACGAGTGGTCCATCTGTGTTTGATTTAGAGTTTGTCACCGGTGTGCCAAAAGGATCCAGTACGTTTGGATACGTGAGTACATTTTTGTTAGTTTTGAAATAAATCAACATTGTGATTTTTCTGATGGAAAAAGGCCTGCGCGGCTCTCATGAATAGAATAACTCGCTTCTGCTTTGTACGCACAATTAACGCAAGTGAGAAAATAAGCGTTGCTTTCGGTGGAAAATCCAGGTACTGTGCAATGTCTAAACGTCCATTTCTGCTGATGCTTTTTCATTCTGGTCGTAAGTCAGCCAGGCAAATTGAATGCAGCATTATAACTAAGAATAGCAATAGCAAAGGCAGTTATAGCAGCTGTTGTATCATTTCCACATCGATTGCTTTCCTAAGCACAATAAAAGCGGGGATATAAATTCAGTAGTTGAAGCGGAATGAAAAAGCTTGCAAAAACAGCCACATCTATTATACAAATTCTGTATCATAAGATGCTGATTAAGTAATTACCTCAAGTTTATAGCTTACTGAGATGTGTATGACTAATGCATGCATTTTACACCATGCTGTGGAGAGCATTGCTGATCTTGTGGATTATGAAAAGTTATCATTAATTATTTAATCAATTAATGACCCATTTATAACTTGCAACTCAGAAACTGCTAGCACATGACAGTATAACACACTGCACGGTTTAGAATAAATAGGATTCATATTATGATTGTCAGACAATTTGTTTCAATAAAAAGTAAAAAATTATAACTGCCTGGCAGATTTTGTCATACTAAAATATTTAGATTTTTTTTTGCATTGTGTGAAACTTATCAAAAGACAAACAGCCATTACCTTTGCATATTTCCTGTATTTTGAGCCTTACACATAGATACCTTGTGCATTCTGTGTCTTTGGGTAATGTAGAGACAAATTAAGCTGTGTACGCAAGGGTATAACGACAACTAAATCATGTGCTCTGCTAGCCTTAATCGGCAACTGCTGTCAGCACTTTCCCCAGTAGTCTCTGAAGCTAAACCGAGTGTCTTGTGTCTTTGCTGGGCGTTTTTGTGTTTTATACTTTTATTTATATATGCCTTTTGACAAACCTAAGTATTTACAGCTGCACAAGTGAAATGTGTAACCAAGTTCTTCCAATTAAAACAATGTGCATATAGCGGTCGTTTCAACAAATGTCATACTTCATAGCTCTGCTGCGTGAAGATCAAGCGAGTAGCCTTGAGTCCCCCTGAGTGTCCGCGTGTGCTGTTCCATGTTAAGCCCTTGTTTGCTGCTCTGTTTCTCAAAGGTGCTCATCCTCAACACAACAGACATGAGCACCCTCATGAACGTCACAGGAGAGCAGGTTTGTCTCCACCTCAATACAGCAGCACATTGTCCGTGCGTGCAGGGGATAGGTGGCTCCTCCCCATGTCTGGGTTCACATCGGTCCCATGTGAGTGGCCACTCATGCCATACCACCGGGGTGTAAATTTAACCTGCTGCTATTTTTTTTCCTAGCTTGAACTCTAGAATGTGTTGAAGGGAGCCAGGCAGTGAAATGAGGGTTAACCATGTAAATAAGTATAAAAATACACCTCCTTTCCACGTGTGAAGAGACACATAAAGGTTAGGGTGAGGACGAGGGAGGCAGTCAAGGGCTCTGGAGCACTCATTATACCAACGTAACCCTGACACGAAGTCAAGTTTTGCTTTGGTGTCGACAGAATTCACGGAATAAAAGGCATGTGGTGTTCACTGAACGTCGCACGTTCACTACTAAATGTACTATTCGCAGTCGGTAATGGATATATCTGTACCACCAAATAATGTTGCTATTGTTTATTCCAAATGTTGCCCTCGTCTATGGAGACAAGTTTAGGATATTGTCATGGCAGAGTTTTTTTTCTTTCTTTTCAATAACATGAATATATTGGCAGTGGCACTTTATACTTCATACAGTAAATTTGTGTCTTAACGGTTTTTATATTTGTAACACATTGTCACAATTTAAGTGTTTTAACTTGTAACACGTTTGGAAAAAAATAATAATTATTATTTTTGGCATTATGCGCTGCTCTGACATGCTCTTGGACACTGAAGCATACGCACACGGCTGCGTTGGGTTGTGCTGTCGGAGAAGTTTGTCCATTGGTAGCGCTGGGCGGGCGTCTCTTGACCTTCCGCCAGGTGCAAGGGTAATGCCTCTAGCACCGTGATGAATAAGTGCACTTCATTTATGAGGCAACTTCTTGCTGATGACACCGTAAACTCGGCTGTTCCATTTTTTTTTATGTCTGCTGAGAAATGCAATTTGGCTGCCTTTTGACAGCTGTCTTATGCATAATGTTTGCATGTCCATTGTATTTAAATTTTTTAATGATTGCCATTTTATGATATTGTATATACATTAAATAAGTCACTATTTTTGCATTACTATAGTGAAAATCATCTGATCAGCCCTTATAGGGGATTCTGTTAGTGGATTGTATTGTCCTACGTGGATGTTGTTAGTGGATTGTATTGTCCTACATATTTGCACCATTTCCTTCCCTTAGCTACTTGGATAAGCGCAGCTAAACGGTTAATAGAATACGTGCGTCGCCACTGTCAGGTTACTCTTATCCATGCTTTTGGGTGGATAATAGAGTGAAAGTTGGACCTCTATTGAGAGCTTTCTGGGTCCATTAAGGTTGGGTCAAATCTGCACGTAAACACAGATAATCTAATGTGTGACCCGACTTCTGGGTTACTCCTGTTATCCATGTGTAATGCAGCACTCGGAGACACTGTCTTGTTCAAGTGTCTATTCCGGTCCGCCCAACGCGATGGCATGTTAACGGGTAGACGTGAGTTGACTATGTACAGTGGGTGACTTTATGTAGCTGCAACACGACGTTCACCTATATAGCTTGCTGACTATATAGGAGTCGATGGAGTAGCAGCTACGGCGACGATATATAATCTCCCCATGGTCTTCCAAGACGATAAGGCGACCCGCTCCCAGACGGTGAGGATGATCCACTCCAAGATCACGACAGCGACGACGGTCCAACTTCGAATCCCCATAGCAGTCCCGAGCCCCGCTCCACGCTGCCTTTTATCTCCCTCTCCGGCTCAGCCACGCCCCTTTTCGCGACCTCTCTGTCGCCTCATTTGACCCTGCCTGTCCCTGTCGTTTCGGTTACTATTTACGACCACTAGGCCCCGTACTGTCCTTACACGTGTAAACATGTGGATAACCGACAAAATTTACATGTGGATAATAGAAAGGTGAATGCACATGAATTTAAATGTTTATGTGCGTGCTTGTGCACATGCATTCACCCATACCGCCCGAGTGCTGTCTTCTTTCCTTTCTATGAAGCCTTTTTCACCCTTTATGGTGTCTTAGTTGCAGTAGAAGCTGGATATAAGAACGCTGCGTATAAGCACACTTCTAATCCAAGTTACACATCCTTACATCACACTGATTGGGTTAAGTGTGATAAAATCGCACATGCAACTTCTACTGTATACCTAGCCTGTGTCAATGAGGTCTAATAACGTCATCACTACTTATCGGCAAATGTTGACGCCTTTTGGCGTCATCTGGTCCAACCCATGTGAGACTAGGCTCTAAGGAAAGCTGTCTCGGGTGTGGACCAATCAACTTCAAGGACAGTGCACATTATCAGAGTTATGTTCTTTTGTTTGTATTATGACTGCAGGTATTGCGGTCTATGCAAACATGACTCCTTGTAAAAAGGTGTCAGTTTTGTTGCCAGATAGAAGGATAAAAAACCAATTATCATATTTTTACTGGCAAATGAGGTTCCCATAGTGTAGATGCTTGCCCCGAGCTCTCATACTCTGATGGTGCATTGTCTTTGAGTTGTGCGCCTTTTGGCGTCATCTGGTCCAACCCATGTGAGACTAGGCTCTAAGGAAAGCTGTCTCGGGTGTGGACCAATCAACTTCAAGGACAGTGCACATTATCAGAGTTATGTTCTTTTGTTTGTATTATGACTGCAGGTATTGCGGTCTATGCAAACATGACTCCTTGTAAAAAGGTGTCAGTTTTGTTGCCAGATAGAAGGGTAAAAAACCAATTATCATGTTGAATGTTGTCGGTGTGTGTGCAGAGCTTGTGTACCCATTCAGAAGTGTGTTTGAACCTTTGTGTGCAGCAGAATGTGGTGTGTGCATGCATGCTACCTGGTGCAGTGTGTAATCATCGCCACTAGGGAGACAAAGGCAGCCAGGCGTGCTGCTGGCCACCCACGCCCTCACGTGTCGTGCTGCCCATCGGACTATACGGGCGATCTTTGTCTTTGCTCATGTGTGATGTATGTGCGTCTGTGTCCTGCAGCTGGCTTCCTACTTCGGCTACACGGTGGCAGTCACGGATGTGAATAATGACGGGTGAGTCTCCTCATTGGGGGCCGGCTCGCCTCCAGAGGAGGACACACAAGTCACGGGGAAGGAGGATGTGCATCATGTGAAGGAAGTCATTTTAGCACAATGCACAAATAGCTTCTGAAAAAGAGCTATGTAGCTCAGTCGGCCTTGCGTGGTGGGGAGTTATGTGATGGTGGGGAGGCAAGTGATTGAGAGCCTGGTGAATGGGGAGACGTGTATGTCCATGTCTTGCCTACAAGATCTCTAAGTTCGTTACGCCTCATCTGTTCGCCGAGTAGTTAGTTGGTCTATGCTTTTATTTTGTGTTCATGTGCACATGGATTGCAATTGTTTTGTGCTCGTTAATTACAGCTGCTGGTTTCTCATTAGAACTTGGTGTAGAAGTCCAGCGTGACCACTCAAAACGTGCTTTGTCATTCATATATATATATGTGTTTGTCTTCATTAGCATGTCAGTGATCCTAAAAGTTTATTGGCCAAAAAATAAGGAATAAATAGTGTCACATGGATCTTATTTTCTTCAGTATGGTCTCCTCGAGTCTGAATCAACAAAGCTTTCACTGTATGGGCATTCAGTCACATGCCACTAATTATTTCTAACTGGTGCAATTACACTGCTCGGGCAGTTGGTATATGCGAATGCTGCATTGCATATGGAAGCCATCCCTCCCAGTGAATTTACCATTTTAAGGCCCCCGAATCGAAAGTAAATCTACAATTGCAGGGGATTGAAATGTCAACATCTCGGCATTTAAGGATTCCATGCTCTTTGCCAGCAATTTAACTGATTTATTTGGTTTGTGAAATGTGTAAGCCTTAAGAGGAACCCTCTGACAACTGTGATCTGATTATGTGGGTGTGTCTGTAAGCAGACTTTTTAATGTTCGGGGAAAATGTCATTCTGTTTGCGCTTAAGCAACGGTTGCAACATTTTTACCCTTTTCCAGGGAAGGAAATACCAGGGCACCACTAACTATGCACAATTGTGCTTCTGAGAAAATGAACATTACTGTGTCGTCATGTGAATGGTTAAAGAGGTTTGTTGCAGTTTTAAACAAACATTTTTTATTTAGGTCTATATTTTTCTTTTTGGATCTTTGCAAATAAAAATTATGCCTTTTGCAACACTGGTTATTTTAAGATAATTTCTGTAAATATGTTGTATTATTCCGGACTTTTTTTTCATGCCCATGACTCAAGAAAGGATTAATCGGGAGGCAATGAGAAACGAAAATACGTCATTATTTGTCGGCATTGATTGTAAACATTATCACAATCTGACATTTGATCTTATTTTCAGATCTTCTTCACTGTCCTCAATTAGTTATTTGCCCTAAATTAATGCAAATACCAGGTACCTGAGATTAAACCAATTTGGCAAATATTGTTCTCAAATATTTTTGACAGGAAATATTATCGTCGGTTGTTAGTTGAGGGTATCTTAACAGCCCCCTTTAAATTTTTCGATTTAAAGCTTTCGTGACTGCAGGGATTCAACTTCTTGGTTCTTTCGGTAAAGTCACGTAGAAGGGAAATAATACAATAATAAAAATAAACATAATAAGATGAAATTCTCACGACGTTTCGGCCACAACGCAAGCAGCCGTCCTCAGGTGAAGAACAGGGCTGTCGGAAAGACAGCGTCCGAATGAACACCACCAAGCTTGGCAGCATATATTTAAGCTGGGTTGATATGTAAATTCCTTTGTCAAGGCGCTCTCCTCCTCTAACGCAGCTTAAATATACGCTGCCAAGCTTAGTGGTGTTCATTCGGACGCTGTCTTTCCGACAGCCCTGTTCTTCACCTGAGGACGGCTGCTTGCGTTGTGGCCGAAACGTCGTGAGAATTTTATATTATTACGTTTATTTTTATTATTTTATTATTTCCCTTCTACGTGACTTTACCGAAAGAACCAAAAGATGAGCCCCCTTTCATTGCAACATATCCTTAAATAAACTTGGACACCGTTGCCATGGTGATGGGAATTATGATTTACAATGTCAGATTCGCTCTGTGTCATCCTCATTTCCTGTTGAGTCAATTTCACGATAAAAGCCAGCGTTCAAGCTTCCATATGTGTCACTCATTTCTGCTATTATACAGTAAGAATTCTATCCCTTCTCTTTATTATTCGACCATATTTATTATATTATTTGGGTCTTTCGGTAAAGTCACGTAGATAGGTTCAAAGAAAATAACAAAAAACTACGACGTTTCGAAAGCTTTAAGTCATATTTATTATAATTCTTATATCGTATAATTCGATGTTAAACGGGGGCATTGGGTTGTACATTAATTTTCACTGTTTTTCAAATATCCTGCATTTTATTGTCTTCACTTTGAATTGTGCATAGCCATTAATGTTATGCCACTACAACAAACTAGTGGTTGTCATAACATTGTTAGAATTCGAGAAATTTCTTCATGCAAGTTTACGATTATATGATGGCATGCACAGTCTGGAAATTGATATGGCACAGCAAATGATAATTGTTTTCATGGAAATCAACTTAAAGGCTTATTTGATTGTATTTCCACTTGTAGCCTTGTGAAATGTTGTCCAGTAAAATGTACATGTGTGGTGTTTTATTGATATGAATTCCCACATGAAAACAAATCCGAAACAAATGAAAATAACAAAGCTGTTTTCATGTATTACAATTACTCGATCTTAAAATGTTAAATGTTTAACAACTCTTGAGTAGAGTGTTGCACCATTGTTAATCTAATCCCTGTATGTCACTGAATCGGGCCCAACTGTTATTATTTGTACATTGCAGTATCACAAATAGCCATTTGTGCACCACAATTGCTGCACGTGGCACCCAGCATAATGTTATGATTATGCAGATAAGGCAATGCTATTCAGATCCCTTATTTTTTACAGGGGATTATTTCAGGCCAATAGCTGTGCTCCTCAGACTTGCCTTCATACCCCCAGCCAATTAGCCAAAGTCCATTTTAACTACTGGTCAGCATCTTCTTGTTTCTTTCGGTAAAGTCACGTAGAAGGGAAGTAATAAAATAATAAAAATAAAACATAATAAAACAATTCTCACGACGTTTCGGCTACAACGCAAGCAGCCGTCTTCAGGTGAAGAATGAGACACTACCAAACTAGGAGCTTATATATAAGCTGCATTGGGGGTTGAAGAGCGCCTTAACAAAAAGAATGTGCATGTGAAGAGGAATTTAGCATATTCATGGAAAATGCGTAGGCGTTGGGCGGGGGGGTGTCAAAGTCATATTATGCCCATGCATTATGCAGGATCAGCAGCAACCAAGGGGGGTGCAGGGATTAGCAGTAACAAAGGAAAGGAATGTTAATGATATGTAGCTGCAGTTACTCAACAACCACGTAGAAAACTAAAGTATAAACTACATAAAAAACTAAAGTATAAACTGCATCGCACCATCAGTATACTTACTTTTTATGTAGTTTATACTTTAGTTTTCTACGTGGTTGTTGAGTAACTGCAGCTACATATCATTAACATTCCTTTCCTTTGTTACTGCTAATCCCTGCACCCCCCTTGGTTGCTGCTGATCCTGCATAATGCATGGGCATAATATGACTTTGACACCCCCCCGCCCAACGCCTACGCATTTTCCATGAATATGCTAAATTCCTCTTCACATGCACATTCTTTTTGTTAAGGCGCTCTTCAACCCCCAATGCAGCTTATATATAAGCTCCTAGTTTGGTAGTGTCTCATTCTTCACCTGAAGACGGCTGCTTGCGTTGTAGCCGAAACGTCGTGAGAATTGTTTTATTATGTTTTATTTTTATTATTTTATTACTTCCCTTCTACGTGACTTTACCGAAAGAAACAAGAAGATGAATCCCTGCAGTCACGAAAGCTTTAAATCGAAATTTTACTGGTCAGCAGTTGGCTCTATTTTACCACCGGGTCACCTTTGACGGCTATAATCTAACTACTAGAAGGGATTTTTCGATTTAAAGCTTTCGTGACTGCAGGGATTCATATTCTTGGTTCTTTCGGTAAAGTCACGTAGAAGGGAAAACAATAAAATAATATTGTTTTATTTTTATTATTTTATTGTTTTTTCCTTCTACGTGACTTTACCGAAAGAACAAAGAATACTTGAAGGGATGTTTGGTGACTCATTCACAGATTGAGCCATATCTACATTCAGTAGCCACACCCAGCAAGCTGATATTGAAGCAATGTAGCAAATAGGTTGTCTTGTCAATGTGGATTTTGAGTTCGTCATTTGCATGGTTTTTTTTCATGAGACTCACTTATTCTACCACACAAACTCAATAATTGTTTGATCAAATATCGAAAACAGAACTACAAAATACTCTTGAGGGTTAGTGAAGTTTTCCTGAGTTAATAAATAATAATTATTTTTATTTACCTCACCGTACACAATGATTCAATATTGGTGTGATAATGTTATAAGGAAGAACATGATGATAGTGAATTGTTTTCTTGTTTGGCACAATGGAGAATTAATTCCCCATTGGTATGATCACCCTTAATACTGATATACAGTAAGTGGCTACCCACCCACACAGAAAATATTTGCTCAGTTCATTGCAACTGGAATGAGTACTGCAGACCAAGGTGTAAAATTTAAGTGCCATCCGTTATGCTGAATACATGGCCTTGATACCTGGGCATTTGGAATGGAAAATATTTGGAACCTGAACTTGGCTTGTGTTGGCTTGGCCTCTAGGCATTGGGCATTTCGAGTTAGGTCGGCTGCTTGCCCTGACTGGTTCCATTACCACAGAAAACCTTCGCATTTCATAGCTTCGGTGGATTGGTTTGTAGTTAAGGCATTCCTAGCAATTGCAAATTGCTCTTGCATAAGGTCAATGGAAATCCACAAAGGAGCACAGTTTGCTGGAATGTTTTTAAAGTTGGGTGTGGCGTATTCTGTATTTCTTTTAGTGAGTGAAATTTAATTTGGGCAAACGTGCACTTTTTGGCAATGCTCCCATATATATATGGTCAAAGTGAGAGCTTATTGTACGATATCTGCCAATTAAAGTGAGACTGGCAGTTGTAATGTGTAGCCATTAGTCGGTCGTGTAATAACATACATCTAAAGTTATTTAACCTCAATATCCATCAACCTTACCTAAATCCCACTTTATTTGTGTGAGGTATATAATGTTAAATAGTTTTTATTAAATGTACCAACGAATGTATGGTATGCATTGTACCATGAAAGGCCGAACGCTGTGTGAATATGGATGGCTTGGGTAGCTGACTCGCTGTGAGATGCATTCCCTCAGTTTTCCTGCACCAAAGTTCACCCAAATTCTCAAAATAAAAAAGGCCCCATGGATTCTGAGGTCTCCTTGATTCCAAAAATGCCTCCACTTCTGCTCGCTCAAGTGGCACCTATATTATTCCATTGCTAAATATTTTCATCTTTTATGGGCCACTTGTTTTCTTGAATATAGAAAATCGGCATCGATGTGTGAGCAGTTAAGTATATACATATCTGCAATAGGTGATTAAAATCTGTCATAATTTTAAATGATCGCATGAAGCATCGATCATCAGTTATTTGTAGCTTCGTGTATTCGTTGTAATATGGAATATTGAACAAAGTTTACTCTGCACATCACCACCGTTGCACCCTAACTATGGAATGCCAGTTGGCTTCACTATGAATACCTACTTGGTCGATCTAACAAGAAGAATGTCTCATACTCTGATGGTGCATTGTCTTTGAGTTGTGCGCCTTTTGGCGTCATCTGGTCCAACCCATGTGAGACTAGGCTCTAAGGAAAGCTGTCTCGGCTGTGGACCAATCAACTTCAAGGACAGTGCATATATTATCAGAGTTATGTTTTTTGTTTGCATTATGACTGCAGGTATTGTGGTCTATGCAAACATGACTCCTTGTAAAAAAAAGTGTCAGTTTTGTTGCCAGATAGAAGGGTAAAAAAAACAATTATCAAGAAGAATGTTGTTCATGGTACTTTGTGTGTGAAAAGTGGTGTAGTGCTTGGTGTGGGGCACGGTAGGGTAGTGGTTATCACACTGTACTATGAACCTGGTGGCCTGAGTTCAAACCCTGCCCACAGCCAACATTGTTCACGAATATCTAAACTGGTCCTGTGCCTCCTCTGGGTCTACTCAGCCTTTATATGGGTATCTGGTGGGGTGTATAAACATCAGCACCATGGAGACAAAGGCAGCCGGGCACGGTTCTGGCCACCCACATATTTGTGCCGGCCTTAACAGGTGCTCGCTAACAGAACCCACAAACTCGTGTATACCAGCCGAGGTAGTTAACATCTTGACACCGTGGCGTATGCCGTGTGCCGTGCACGTGTTTCCCCCCCCCCCCCACACACAGACTGGATGACCTGCTCGTGGGCGCCCCACTCTACATGGAGCGCGGCTCCCAGGGTCGCCTGGAGGAGCTGGGCCGCGTTTATCTTTACCTGCAGCAGGCCCCGCTCAGCCTGGGCGCCGCACAGACGCTGTCGGGGCGAGACGTTTATGGCCGCTACGGCAGCGCCATCACGCCGGTTGGAGACCTCGACCAGGATGGATATAATGGTGGGCGGATTCGGTGTTGACACTCGGCACCACGGTGGCGAGATGTTAGCTACATTGCCTAGTATACGGGCAGTCGTGGGTTCAATCCCAACCCTGACACCAGTATATTTGTGGTTTGCAGTCTCTCCCCATGGTTGAGTGGACTTTTCTCCTGGGTTCTCCGGTTTTTCCCTCCACATTTATAATCAAGATGCGTTTCAAGTTTTTGGCTGCTAAACATTTCCACATGATAAGCCACTTTGTTGCGCTGTCATTTGATCGTCCTGTAAAAGAGCTATGCAACTCCGTGGGCCTTAACTGGTAAAATAAAAATTTTCAGTTGTAATAGTTTGGAGTGAAATGGAGTTCAGCAAGTTCATCTCTCCGTTGTGCTTTCGAGCCATACTACCCGCATATGGTTCAGCAAAGATGCCCGATGCTTTGCTGCACGTGCTGGGAGTTTCCTCAGCAACCGAATTGAAAAAGCTCCCACCCAGCATGTGGAGCGAAACGTCTGACGTCATGCTACAGAATGCAAAAACATCGGCGCTTTACAGCACAACCACGGAAACCTACTCTGAAGCGAGTTGCTTAGCCAGACAGAGTCCGTGGTTGGTTGCAGAAATCAACGTGAAATGTTCCGTTAGTTATCAATATAAATCGCTGCAAAAGGTAATAGTCAAAAGTTGCAGTGTCAACCTAATCACATTTATTAGGCCAGGGGTCGGCAACCAAAATAACAAGAAGAGCCATTTCTTTCCAATTCGGTACAAAATTCAGTATTTCAAGAGCCGCAATGCATCTGAGTACATACTGTACATACGTACATATCGTCAAGAAGCAGCCCGGCTCCGGAGCCGTAGGTTGCCGACCCCTGTATTAGGCAGTACTCTTTTCTGATGTTAGTTATACAAATGTTACATTCCTATGGCGGTAGCCAGTCTATTCTTTGGACTACCATAGCGTACTTGCCACAAAGTGATTCTCATTTTACGCACTTTGCACACAGCATGAGTATCTGAACCGCTTCCATTGGCCTCCTAATCGGTTGAGTCTGGCCACCGCACGTTCAAATCAAAAATAGATAAAAATGATGGCCAGGCGTGATTCTGGCCATAGGATTCCTAATGTGCCAGGCAATGCCTGTTTTAGATTAGTGCTCGCTAACAGGACTTACCTTGACAATCTGTCCAGGGGGTGTGTGTGTGTGTGTGTGTCTTTTTATAGTGGTGAGTGCACACTCTGTTCAAGACAACACTGGGGATTTCTGTCTTGTGGGTAACCCATAACACCGCCTATGGTTTCAGAGTGCACATAGCCTTGTAGAAGCACTGTGGTGACCTCGCCTCCAATTGATGTGAAATAACAGCTCCTGTGTGCACGCGTGTCTGTGTTCATCACAGACGTTGCAGTGGGAATGCCGTTTGGAGGGGAGGATGGCACCGGTGTGGTGTTTGTTTATAACGGGCGAGACACGGGCCTGATGGCTATACCATCCCAGACGCTGCGTGGACGCTGGGCATCGCAGGGCCTCCCGGCCAGCTTTGGATTCGCACTCCGTGGGGGAACTGACCTCGACTCAAACGGCTACCCAGGTGACGTGCAGCTCTTCTCCTGCTGACAAGTCCCACGATTTCTTGCAGGAGGAGGTCACTGTCGACATCCTCTTTCACCGACAAGCGACACGTAGCCCCTGAGCTTCACCTGCTCTCTCAAGCTCCATACCCCCCCCCCCCTCTCCACCGATCCCCTGCCACTACCATCAGCTAGCGCCTATATTAGCGTGCTCACGCCTCTGGCATGGGTGGTAGAATTTCTGTGTGTTTTTTTACGAGTCTGGTACAAAGCACAAACCGTAACAAGGGGGGGGGGGGGGTGTTGGAGGGATAGAAACTCTGTGGACTAAAGCCCGAACTCACTGCTCCTGGTTTTTAGACGAGGGAAGAAAATTGGGCTCACTGCCCCCATCCAGGTATGTATAGGGGGGGGGGAAGATCAGGGAAGAAGAACAAAAATAAGGGGATAGAAGAAGGGGGTGGGGGGGAGAATATCATCTCTAAACCCGACTTTACATTATCTCCCATGTCAAACTCTGACATCTACTGTTCACTTTAGCCAAGCCCTCATTTTAGATCCACCTGCATTTTGTCACCTCCACGTGGGGTCTCTTTTTCTCTTCACTGATTACCCGTGATTTTAACATCCATGTTAATGATGTATCTAGTTTTATCTCAGATATTTTATGTTCACTCTGCGAATCCATGGAAGTCTTCCAACTAAGCTCAGCTCCCATACCCCAGAACCATGTTCTTTGCCTTGTCATCTCCATCGTGAATTCCTTCGCTCTCAGAATCCGTTCACATACATGACTTTTATTGACCACAACCACAACTTTTTATCTTTTAGGTCAATTCCATTCACGTCCTATCGGACATGCGTCTTATTGACTTCTGTGTTCTCACAATATCTATCCATTCCTACTTCATGGAATTCCAAATATCCTTCGGAGCACGACCACAACTTGATCTGAAATGTTCACGATCCCATGGCGGGTGCCAGTATTCCGTAGGAAGACCACTGTTGTGGTTTTTTTCAAATTGACACAAGTTTTAATTCACCGTGTCCTCAGCGTGGTCGATAGTTACTTCCCATCTGGCTGTTTTTAGTGGTCGCAGCACTGCAGCGCCACTTTTTATTGGGGTTACAACCCCAGTCTGCCTTGACATTTTAATTTGATGTCCATGTGCACGTTACTGCACTAACTCGCAGAAAAAAGGTGGTGAATCAAACATTTTATATGGCTCCTGAATACATTTTACAGGCTTTTGAGGGCCTGATCTTTATGAGGCCACTGGTTATGATTTTTTTGTCGACATTTATGTACAGTATTCTTCACAAGATGAAGGTCTATCATTTTGGTTGATTACTTATATTTTTAATGCTGAATAGTACTTTATTTATCGATCTCGGTAAACTTAAAATGTTTATTATTTTGCTGCAAATGTAGACTTTGGCGCTGAGCATAGGATAAATGAAGCCTTTATGTTAAACAAGTGTTTACATTTCGATTTAAAGCTTTCGTGACTGCAGGGATTCATCTTCTTGGTTCTTTCGGTAAAGTCACGTAGAAGGGAAGTAATAAAATAATAAAAATAAAACATAATAAAATAATTCGTCGTGAGAATTATTTTATTATGTTTTATTTTTATTATTTTATTATTTCCCTTCTACGTGACTTTACCGAAAGAACCAAGAAGAAGTGTTTACATGTTTGTTTTAACCTTTAGACCACATTTAAGGCATTTTTAAGCCCCGAGGTCCCCTCCCGGGGCCCCTGTTATACTGTCAGCGTGGCCTGGCTCCACCCTGGCCACGCCCCCTTCTGAAACATACTAGAAGATTCTCAATGTGCCCCTTCGTAACATTTCCCTTACATCCCCCCTCTCTGGCCTATCATGTGACCTGCTGTCAGTCAGAGCTGCTGCAACTGCAGAAACCCTTCACTGCCAGCAACCAGCGCTATGCTGCTAAGTGACCAATTCTATGTCACTACACAGGCATATAGCAGTGAGCCATTACAGATGCCTCTCCAAGGCTGTATGTATCTTGACTGTTTTTTAAAGGTGGTTCTTTGTAATGTGTTTACCGACAGTTGCTCTCTACATATTGTGATCACTTGTTAATTTGTGTTTTTGTTGAAGGTTTTTACGTTCGGTGTTTGTTGGTTGAGTTTGCACGTATGTTTGTACTTGGGTGCTTTGCATGTGTACAAGTGTGGTAGAAGTCTTGTCTACATGGAGACCAATCATTAAAACATTACACTGTTATGTTAGTGATCAAGGTTCGCATCTTGCTTGTGTACGTTTGGGACAATCAGCAATGTGGGTTCTGGCCCATGCCTGGGTCAACTGTGCATAAAGTAATTGCTGGCAGGAGTGTATCAACAGCAGTACTGGCAAGACAAAGGTGGCTGGGTGTGGTGTTGTACCGGTGCTCGTTAACAGCACTTTTCCCACAGTATATACAGGATTGAAAAGGGGATCTTTGTCTCTGTGTGTGTTGGTTTAGTATGGTCTACTTTAGGAGGTCCTCTACACTGACGACATTGCTGACAACGACTGGGGTATTTGAAATTAAGTATTTGATCACGGGCTGAGCTGGAGTTTGTGACCTGCATGCTCTGGTTTAGCTGTGCTTGGTGACCTCTTGTATTCATGCTTGCGTGCATTGTTTGGACGGTGGGTTGTATCTAATCCCCACTTATCCAGATGGTTTTGTATATCATTAATTTAAATATTATTTTTTTTGCACAGCCTTTCGCACACAGTGCATCTTGTTGGCGTGTGTGAAACCAGTTTACGTAGAGTATGGAGTTTACACAATACAACAATTTATAGTAGGTGGGTGTTTGGCAAATATAATGTCAACATTTTATTCAACAGTGAGAGTTGACATCAGCGATGCAGCTTTGAATCTGCGATATAATGTATTCCAGGTTGCCATGTTCCCTCCACAGTCTGCTGTGTGTACATGTTACATCTGTATTTGTAACGAATGTGGTGGGAGCTGCGTCCAGTAAGCAGGCTGCTGTTAGCGACAGCCAGGCATGGTGGCACACTTCTCATCGTGTGCTTTGAAGGCAAGGGTTGTTTGATCGTATTGATATCACGTTTTAGATTTTGGTTGATCCTCTCAAACCGACTGTGCTGTGAGGTATACATTTGCTTCTATATGTCTTCATGGTACCAATACAGAAAGTAGGTTCACAAACATGTCGACTGACCTTTGAGTGTTGTGGATTCGCTTCCATGGCATGTATATGGGCACAGTCTGAATTTGCCAAATATTGCAAATGCACGAACTCCTGAAAAGGTTGTTAGACTTGATGAGGCTTTCCTGGGTAAATTAATTTATGGATATGAATTGTCGGTCTAATGTTTCATTCCAGTAAGTGTACATTTATCAAAGCTTAAATGACAAATGTTTTAAAGATGAGACATTGGGGTTGTTTTTATCCCTTCCAGATGGGATTGTGAGGCCCTATAAATTGTTCACTTTGAACTTGTGGTGTTTTTGCTTTGATGCTTACTGCTCTGTAGCATTTAAATTGTTTTGCCACTGTAGGGTAAGTGATAGACTTATTAAGAATATAAATATATTATCCATAATCAGAATTACTCTAAATTGAATAATTAAACATGTTTTTCGTCTTTTAAATAGCATTACATCTGCACAAGTAAGCAACGGACATCTTTTCATACCACTGTTTAAACTTTACGATAATTTATTGCAAGCTGTTATAAACAGGTGAGAGCCCATACATAACAGGTGTGCTGCAATGGAGACGTTAGTTATGTATTAACAGAGATTTATGTATGGTTTTTAGTTGCACATATTGCTTGGAAATTTAATAGGGCCCCTAATGATAGGGGTTGGCTGTTTTCTCAAAAGTAAATGGAATGGCAATAATCTATTTGACATTTGTAATAATTCCACCGATTCCATTTTTTGTCACGTTGTTAGGTTAAAATATAAATGTTGGGAATGTTATAGTTATATTTGCCATACTATATACCAAGCAGGTAAACATGGTTGGTATGATACATGCTATTAAATAAGTATATTTAAATCAGCAGAAGGAAATTTTTGTACATGAAGTAAAAAAAGTGTGTAGGCACACTCTTTAAAGAGTTAACTCTACTAGGAAGCAATTCTACTTGAGTGTATTGCATTCATATCTGACATTTCATGGGTGCTGGAGTACAGCAGGCAATGAATGCTATGATTGAGAGGCAGCATTTAAGCTCTTATTTTTGCACACATGGCCTCAAATTTCAGCAGTAACATCCTGTAATGAGGGTTGTCGCAACTGCAGGATCGGGCAGCATTGGGACATATTGTCACAGCTGTCCATATTCTACGGCGAGCAGCGCTTGATGTGGCAAAGTTTCAGACATCCACCGCCACCAGCTGTTTGACCTCCTGCTGCAACTTTCAGTTTATTAAAGCCTTTAATGAATTCACTAAAACCCAACAATTTAGCTTACCCCCATTTGCAACGGCAACAAAAAAAAAATCTGGCTTTTAAACAAAATCGGCCAGGATGCTATCATGAATATTGCTTTCTGGGTCTTTTTGAAATGTGTGTAATGAGGCGGGCTTAAATGGGCACCGCGCCAATTAGGGGGACGTTGAAAGGGCAGGCAGGAAGCCAAGCCACGGGATTACGGAGGCATCTCTACCACGGCGATGTCGTGCACAGTTGTTTGGAGAGAAACGTCTGCTGCTGTTTTTGGAAGCTGTTTAATGTGGTCCCCTGATTTTGATTAGCGATGATTTTTTATTAGTGAGGATACAAATATAGTACTTCTTCCTAAACTTTATGCTGTATGTGTGTGTGCGCGCGCATGCATGGAGAGCGGTAGTGTAGCGGTTGGCGTGCTTTGCTATGAAATCGGCAACCCGAGTTTGATTCTGGCTCACGGCCACCGTCAGTGGCGATTATCTGAACTGGTCCTGGTGCAATGTGTAAACATCGCCACTTTTGAGTCAAAGGCGGTTGGGCGTGGTGCTGGCCACCCACCCCCTCGTGTAC